TGGCAACTTCACTGATCGCTTCCAAACTCATACTGCACACAAGGTAAGTGAGAATGTATAAGGAGGACAGGAGTCGGGACCATTCTTAGGAACGGGAAAATAAAGCGAAACCGAATGGTCAACACAGAGTACACAGTCCAGCCGTGCACACATACTATTTCAAGCATTCGAAACTGATTAGAAGTGACAGCCAGATGGCCACTGCTGTGGGTTTACTGCCACGACCTTCAGTGTCTCTAACCATAAAGGTACGGCGTCTTTTGGACCCCAACCCGGATTACAAAAGACACCTACTCTACATAATTATTCTGTGCATTTCTTCATGTTTCGTCTTCACGTCATCTGCTGGCTTTCTCCAGTCTGCCGCAGCCACTGAAAATAAGGTGCGCTGGGTAAGACGACTGTCGGATAAACGCAAAACGTGTCCTAACCATTGAAGTCTATTGCGCTGAATTCGATGCGCTGACGAGTTCATGTTCGATGCATTCCAAACACCTGACGACTTACTTCTGTCACTAACCCGTTAACTCCATACAACCTAGGCAGACTACGTGAGCATCCATTGTCTAAAACCACCAGGCGACGGATGTCTTCGATCCGCAAATTCAAGGTCTCACAACCGTAAACCAGAACCGAACGGGCTTCGACGTCGCTTGATGTGCGAATAAGATACCTCGTGGGCAAACCTGGCGCGCTCGAGTGGCTTACATTAGTAGGATCCTTAATTCGAGTCTCCGATCCCAGCAAGTAGCGATCCTCAAGGATTCTATATTACGTGATGGACAGCCTTGTTGATCCACCTGGACCAGAGTCCTCACGTTGAAGACCCCCAAATTCCGTGATTGACGAGGCTTCAAAATCCACAATCTTGTTTGTGGTAAGTTGCTTACAGCGCAACTAGGCAAGGCACTTTGGCGAGTGACGAACAAGTTGCCTGAGGGAATACTACGGGTTGGAAGGATAGGTGAGGGGAGAGGTTTCGGTACGGAAGACTAAGAGTTAAACAGAGGTTGTGATGTCTGCACAACAGCCCTCTTCAGACTCTGTCGACTGTCTGCCGCTCGTGAAGAGTGCACACGTGAGAACCAGGCTGGTTTTAGACCTGGCCGAGGTTGTATCGACCACATCTTCACTCTCTGCCAAATNAGCTCTGCTGTCGTCCGGTTCAATACCACGCCTAACCTATCGGGGCCTTACGTGGTTCGCCACTCCAAGTTCCGGGGCTTAGGTTGCCGATTTCAACCACTGAACAGCAGGTACTTGTGACTATGGGGTTTACCCCGTCTGCTGTTCATCACAACTAGGTGTGTAATAAGAAAATGTATTGCTTCTAAAGTTCTCGCTAACATCATACTCCGTCGGTTGTCTACCGCTCGTGAAGAGTGCACACGTGAGAACCAGGCTGGTTTTAGACCTGGCCGAGGTTGTATCGACCACATCTTCACTCTCTGCCAAATTCTGCAGCATCGACATTCTTCTCGTATAAACCCGTTATCTCTGCTTTCCTCAATTTGGAAGCGGCTTTCAACTCAGTCGACCGTTCTAACCTCTAGCGTTGCCTTTCCTTGAAGAGTGTACCCGAGAAGTTAATTTCAATATTACGATCCATCTATACTCATAGCCGAAGCTGAGTACGAACTTACGGCACGTTTTCCCCCGAGTTCACCACGGAAAGTGGTGTTCGTCAGGGTTGCCCTCTTTCTCCGTTTCTATTTAACTTTGTTATAGATTTGATTATGGAAACAGCCCTATCCTCGTGCGAGGATTGTGGCATCGATTTACTCCTAGGAGGTAAACTCTCCGATCTAGAGTATGCAGACGAAATTGTTCTGCTAAGTGAAGATCCGGGTAAGTTGCAAGCTTTTCTGGAAAGTTTGAATGCTAGTGTAGCCATGTTCGGTATGCGTTTTGCACCTTCAGGGCACAAAAGGTTGCTACAAAATTGGGTTGGTCCAGTCCCCAATCTCACTCTAACTGGGTAAGCAGTAGTAGAGAAAGTAAATATGTTTTTCTAAACTAACAAAAAATATGAAAAAAGTGTACGATGAAACAAACTAAAAAATGGTTTTTCTCGTTTTTTTACATAACTGTCTAATCCCGTTTTACACTGCTTTGTGTTCCAGCCCCAATCTTCTGTTATTCTTGTGTTGCATTGGCACCAAGCTTGTTCGCCAGCCGATCATATATATATATATATATGCGCTATTTGGACAGCTATATCTCAACTGGTGGAGAATCCGGATGAAGTGTAGGTACACATACAGACTCCGAAAGCCTCGCTATGCTCGAGGTCAATATTTTGGGTTGTAGCTAGTCACTCTTCCCTTGCACTTCAAGAAATGCTTGTATGCCACTAAGCGTCTTAAACAGTTTATGCTGAGAAAGCTTTATTTAATGCCTTCTTATGGCGGAAGTGTGTTCCCACCAATGTAAGAGGATGAAAAGCCGATATCCGGGCTGGTGAACCACTTTCAACTCACCTAGGAGATTTGGCTAAAATCTGACTCTAACCTAACCAAGAACAGGTGTACGAACCACACACAAACTTTCCGCGTGGCAGTGGTCACCGTCTCCGTTGGGCAACTTGGATGTTTGACTCCGTCCGAAGGGTGTATGATCTGACGAACTGGACACCGACCCTCGATGGATTGCGGTTTTAACACAGACCCGCTGCCTTGCGGGTTAGGCTTTGGCTAGCATAAGGTTACGGTTATGAATTACCTAAGAAAATTTATCTGCCACGGCCTGGGGAACCTGGCAGTATTCCACCCATATGCAAGTCACGGAACATTTTTCTTTTGTTTGACACAAAGTCTACTCTCAGACGTGTGTAAAAAATGTACAATATACGCATACATAAGGTTCGATTGGCATTTGCCAACTTGAGACAGCTGCGGTGCCATCGCCACATCCGGCTGTTCGTCAAAGGTCGAGTGTACGGCGCAGCGGTTCAACCAGTGCTGCTATACGGTGCAGAAACTGGGCCATTACAGAAACAGGATAAAAGTAGGCTGTCGGTGTTTGAACACCGCTGTCTACGCCGCATTGCACGAGTCCGATGGTGATATCGGACGAGCAATGCTGAAGTTAGACGCAGAGTTTTAGGAAATTACGGTCGTCCACTGGAGCAATGGTCGACCTCAACGGATTACGTTGGTTGAAACGTATGTCGCCAAATGGGTTGCATGGCGAGCGATGTTTGCCGAGGCATGTAGTAGGTTGAAATAGCCAAGTCTATTCAAAATAAGACCTGGCGCGAGGGTATGAAAATATTAACCAGGAAACTCCGTCATATAGGTAGCGTTCGGGTTCCCTGGATGGAGACCTCGGGATGATCGTAAGAGATGGTTAGATACATTTAGTGATATGGTTGAGTGCCGTAAACAGGGGCGTTCGTGCATCTACTCATGATTCTTGCAACCCCAGGCAATATAATTTACTTATCTTCTCCTTGACTCTGCCCTTAGCACTGTTATCTTCCCTCTGCTCTTTCATCCAAATAGGTAGATAAAGGAAAGCAAGTGCCCGAAAATGCGTAGTGAATAGTTGTAAAAACTGAAACTGAGAAAACTCATAAACGGTGAAAGTGGTGAACAATATGGCACTATTGGGATTCATCTTTGAATTTTAACAAAATCATTATTTATTCTACATGGAAAAATTGATTAAAAACATAACTTACGTGGCACCGACTCTGCCGTTGGAATATACTACTAAGGTAAGCTAGTACACGCGTAAACATGCGCCCATAACAATGTTCACGAGTAGGTTTTACAGGATGCATAGGCATTAATGCCAGAACGTATGATACGTCTTTATCTGACAAGTAAGATGAGCCGATCGCATCTGTGAGAGCTGTCAGCTATGCACTTATTAAGCCTATTACCACAAAAAACAGAAAAACTTACCCTGTATCGGAACGAAGTTGCGCATCAATATCCAAAACCGTATTTCCAATAGACCATACCAGGTACGCAAAATAAGGTACGGAAGTCTGATGATGGATGAACTCCAACGCTCCCTCGTCTTTTACTATGATGTAACATTACAATGAAGGATAATCCAATAAAGCAGTTACCTCTGTGAACGTTTAGTGTAATGGTTCGTACAGCGATTCGGACCATGTTTTCAGGGTGACAGAACAACTTGATCGCCTCCACATAGAGATCGAATTCACGACGTTGCTGAATTTTTAAAACTGTAAAACGTGCTCTGAAATACTACCTCAAAATAAAAGAAATTGATTGTGTGGGCGTTTAATCGAAGTGAAAGCGTTTTCAAGAATGAGACATAGTATGCAACCACCTTCAACATAAAGTAAACCGAAATTACAAAATAGATCATACCTCTTCATCAGAGAAATCAAACCTGTGTGTAATAATTTCATTTGTGTGGGTACTGGAAAGGAGATAATCTAATGGATCGAGTACGTTATGCACTTGCAGGCGTAAACTCACATATGGCAGTCTGGTTAGAGATATTTTCGAATAAAATATTGAGAGTCTGCAGTAACTGTACACACAGCAAACGTCCGGGATTCTGTTTAAGGTATTTCATAAAGTCATCCAGTATGTTCTTCTCCAAGAAAAAGCTAGAGAGAAAAGTGAGAACACTGATGGTTTACAACTCACTCCATAACTGTACTATCATTTTGGTCGCCCCAGATGAGAATTTCTGCAATAAGACGGACAGCCTCCACGATGATCTCGCAATTTTGTTCTCCAGCAACCGGGTTCTTTTGCAACACTGAATACAAATATCTGGCGAATAAAGACAGCTTTGATGTTAAACCGAAGGAAGGTGATATACAATTGTCCATAAAATGCAAAGTATGCAGTGACAAGGTTCCACAGATTTCTACAATACTGCACTAACAGATAATATTTTTCCCGTGCACATCCCGGCCGTAAGTCTTTAACACAGCATTGTTTAGATTCTTTTGAACTATAAATATGCTTACAAAATAAGGCAATATCCTTACAAAGGATGTATTCGATAGATGTGGATTCCTCCTTTTACTAAGGTTCCCGTTCGTGAAACAGTTGATTTTTGTGATTATATTTCCTCAGGTAATTTACCCTTTGTTATCCCTCTTGAATACTTAAGAGAAATAATATGTTTACAAACTAAAATCTTTGTCATGAATTCGAAGGAACCACACACAAACAGACTGATGGCGTACCATGGACAGACCATTAGGCCCAATTCTAGACCATGTATTTTAGGAATAACCTTTCAGTTCAGCTTGTACAGCTTGTAGACGATATTTTTAATGTTACGAAGCGTGAACATCTTGAATCCCATTTGAAACAATTCAACTCTCTTAACCCACATCTATTCGCATACCACGAAGAAGAAACCAACGATTCTTTAGCTTTTTGGATATTAGAATCAAGGACAGCTTAGATGGTACATTAGAACGTTGTNTTGGCTGAAAAGAAACATGGAGCGGTCAGTATCAACAGTTCTTTAGCCTCTCACTCATGACTTACAAACCTGGAACCTACGAGAGTTCCTAAAGAACAGGTTGCTACGAAACGGTTACCCCGAAACATTTATTGGTATTCACAGTAAACAGTCTTAAGCAGGTATATACATATCATCGTAAGTAGTATATGATTGACCAAACAAAATATCCCTGGAAGCACATAACCGGTTCCGTGGCGCTTGTCAGGCATGTGTATTGTGGGCATATGTTTTCGGCGGCTTTTCTGCGGTTGTTTATCAGGCGTAGGGAGAATCTCGCTCGTAGCAGAGCATGGTCCGTGTCTACNCAGTAGGAACGGCAGTTTTCAATGGATCCTCTCCAGCCGTGGCTGATGGCGATGTGGTCGAGTTGAGTCCAGCGCTGTGAAGAAGTTGGCGGTCTCCATGTAAGGCGGTGCCGTTTTTTGTGCGAGAAGTTCGTGTTTGACAGAAACAGTCCGTGGTCAGCACAAAGTTGGAGTAGGCGATCTCCGTTGTCAGTCCTGTCGGTTGGGATTGCATGCGAACCGCCAAGTAACCTCTCTGATTCGTCCGGGGATCCCACTTGAGCACTAAGGTCTCCAGCGACTATCACAATGTCTGTTGACCGAGCGCTTTGGAGCAGTAGAGAGAGATACTTGTAGAATTCATCCTTTATTTCTGGTGAACTGCAGTCTGTCGGTGCATACGCGGATACGACGAATAAGCATCGACTCTTCATTCTGTAGCTGTTGACGCGTACTGAACCATCCAGACGTACGGCGCAAAGTCGGCTGTTAACCGGGATCCAATCGAGAAGTGAACGCACGGCCTTGACACTGCGTTTTCCCAACGCCAGCAACACCGCGAGCTTCGGATGCCGAATCGCCTGACACACGGAGAGTGAAGCTAGAGGATGCGGCCGGATCTGGAGAACGGAGGGAGGTGACTGAACTAGGGTCTTGTATGCGTGTTTCGGAGACACAACATACATCTAAATGGAAGGTTTCAAGGGTTCTGGCTAAGGCGGCTTGTCGACCGATCTGGTAGAGTGTGCCGACATTGAGTGCGGTTAAGTGGAAAGGAGATTTTGGTTTCAAAAATCTGATAACCTCTGAGTGATTGACCTTATTAGTTGAACGCTGAGTGATATGCGATGAGTGGCGTAAACAGGAGGCACCTGGGATTAATCCAGGTTGAGAAGAAGGACTAGACAAATGGAAAAGATGGTTTTCCAAATGGGTACCCAAGACTTTAGGGCAAGGCATACTTCGAGGCAGCCCAGACCGACGAAGGGGTTTTTCTTTGCGGACCCTAACCGGAGCCTTTGATTCAAGAGTTTGAACCGCAAGGCAGCGGGAATTTGTGGGTTTTTCTTTGGGAACCCTAACCGGAGCCCTCGACTCAAAAGTCTGACCCACAAGGCAGTGGGGCGTAAATCCAACGCGGGATCGTGAACGAAGCATCCGTGAGGGAGCTTCTAGAGACCTGTCACGCAAGGCCTTTGAATTTCGGTTCAGCGTGTTGTTCGCTGGTGCGTTGATTTTCGGTCCGCTTTTCGGGATTAGCCCTCAGCCTTATGCACACAATGAGACAGGCGGAACGTGGACGGGACAGCACCTTATTGGCTGGGGGCTGCCCAGCTTGGGCGGGTGGTAGCTGTCCAATGAAGTCGAAGACTTCTCCCACCGTTGAGAGGAAGCCCCAGGTACCCCGCTCCTACGTCCATCTAGTGGGGGGGGGGGTTT